AATAAATGAAATTATTATTTAATTAAAACCGATTAGATAATAAAACAAGTTTTTAATTAGGATTTTTTAAGGTATATAAATTGGTCCGATATATGTTTTAAAATGTAGATTAGGCTTAGAACTAACTACAACATAGGACAGCCTTTTTTTCTGTATTTCTAATGAACATTAACACGTTTTAAAAACTCGACATTTTATTTTTAATAATAATAATAATAATACAGTTCACAAACAACAGTTAATACATCGTGATTGCCATTAATTAATAGAAATAATACATATTAATTTGATGACTTAGTCTACATAATACATATTTACATATATTACAAAATATACACAATAGGCACAAATAAAATAAAAAACAAATTACCTAATTAACAAATAGTCTCTAGACAAGGCGTCGAATATTTGTACATACAATACAATTACTGTTAATCATCAACTGATAATTATTTTAAATGCAACTGTTGGTTTAACACTAGCGACTAAAAGAATTGCTTATTTCGCATTAACAATAAGTCAATACAAATTAATTTTCTGTCTGATTTGTTTATTTGCTGACGAAATTGAAAATTAAAATAAATTAAAAGTTCACCAAAAAAAGTTACAAGTTAGTTAGTTTTTTACTTCTTTAGTTGGCAAACAAATACCTCCTGATTCGTCGATGACCAAGTGAATGGGGGTACGACACATCGGACACTCGTTTAGTTGAAAGGCACAGCTTGTGCAGAAACCCCTAGAAGAATAAAACAATATGAAATTACTTTACTTTACTTAAAATCACTAAGTTTTCGGAGCACTAAATGTTAGAAAGAGTATGATTGAAAATAGCGAGCATAGAAATAGTTAGAAACGAGCTATTGGAAAGATTAAAATAAGGTAAATCAATAAGGAAAAGGAATTATAGGGCGGTAGGACACTTACTCAGACATTAAAGTCCAGTTAGAGGCATACTACAAGCAGAAACAGGAGTAAAGAGGGACAAAGGAAGACCTTGATTAAATTGTTTGCAAATAGTGAGGATGTACTGGGTTTGAGAAAATGGGAAGACTGGATAGGAGGTACGTGTTCAAACAATCATTAGTCAATAAATAACACTATGAATTGATTTGATCTAATTTACCCATGGTCACAGGGTATCAGTCTGACAGAAGCTTTAACGTCGTAACACAAAGTACAACAGTCTTCTCCGATGCTCTGTTCCATCAGTTTCTTTAGGAAGATGTGACGAGGCATGACAACCTTATTCTCCGATTTTAACGTATTGTGATCGTTGAAGGAAGAAAAAGGAATGTCCGGCGGATACCGGAAAGGTTCTGCACCGAAATTGAAGCGACAATGTTGGAATGACATGAAACTGGCTGCAGGAAAGAATCCCGACCTAAAACAGTTAATATGTTATGTGCGAAAAAGTATTATGAGAAAAGAAAGTTGAAACTTACGTGGCCATAGTGAACACATGTGTACATGGTGGTAACCTCTGTCCATTTAAAATGAAAACGATTTCGGGTTTTTTGAGGTCCAGAAGGCAGCCCAAAATGTCCCCGGACTTCCACTGACTTACGTTCTGGAATTCCGATTTGGCGTTATACCATATCAACCTTCTGCACCCATCATAAGCTAAAGAATACATATCATCTCCAATACCATAACCCTCCTATGTAGAAGAAGTACATTTTTTATTTGAAATATGTGTGGATGAAAGACACATTACGTCAGACCCTTACATGATTTAAAAACTTGCTATTTTTGGTAGCCCAACCAATCTGCATGACCCCAGAGGTAACAATAAGGACTTCGTAGTACCATACTCCAGAATCAGCCTGCGCTGTACATCGAACGCTTTCAAAGGAGTAGGCGTCGCAACGCGCCTCCAGACCGTCCGGAGATATTTTCAGGTACTCGCTCACGTCTGAAGTGTTTAGCATCGCCCCAATATTCGACATATCCATTGTTTCATAAGAATACTTTCTGTTTTTCAATATAACTGTAAGTAAAAATACATAATTATATTTACATAATTGTTTTTTATAAGGAATAAAGTAAATTACATAAGTTATCTAAGACCCATTGAGCGCAAAATCCAACCTGCCTCCGGAGAAGATCTGTCTCGTTAGCCCATTTTTCTAAGTAGGAAATAGGACACACTTCCATACCCTGAAGCCTCTTCCAAATCGTCGTTTTGTTCTCTGTAGTTTGCGCGAACTTCTCCAAAGCAATCATCGAAAATAATATGATGTGTTCTTCGATTTCTGAATTCTTAAAGTAACACTTAATACTCAAACCCGACCACACAAAGTCACAGCAATACAATTAACGTACCAAATTGCCAATGAGATAATCTAAAATGTTATCAGTTAAAATTCCAAGACTTGTAGGACCCGCTAGTTTTTCTGCTACACATCCAAGGACCACGCAGATGTTCCTCTCCTTTCTGGCGTCTCTTTTCATTTGTTCCATGCCTGTCTCGGAGCATAATTCGAAAGCTGTGGTCACTTTTTGAACAGTGTCCCGAGAAGGCAAAGGGCAATCGTCCAGAAGCAAAATTATGACGGAGGCCCCTAGAGGATCGTCTAAAGGAATCACATTCACCATAGATTTAACTAGTTGAATCCAACCCTCTTCGTGATCGGCTATGTGATGCAGACGTAACATGGAAGGGGGTGGCTCTTGTTCACTAGAATATAGAAATATAAACATCAAAGCAGGAAAACTTATTTACTAGTAGGAGTAGTTAGAAAATTAAATATGTGATAATTATCAGTGATTACTACTCAATGATAAACAATAAAAATACTCAGCTACATTCAACATGGAATGTTTCATGAGTGTATAACGATGCAATGCACAAAAAATTTATTAGTAAAGTGTATGATTCATATCCAAAAATAGACATTGGATTTTATCTAAATAGTTCAATGCTTTTGGATCAATATTTAACTGACCAATCCTTTTAATCTTGATTTTAAAAGAGATACAGTCTTGTAAACAATCTGAATAACAGTGAGTATAAATAAATTTTAAAATTTCCCTTACTTATCTACAAGGGATCCAATTACACTGAGAGTTTCTAAGACTAATGTATCAACTGTGGCTGCATCGACAGGATCTTTTTGCGTCTTTTCCAAGAGGTAGCTTTGTGTACCACCCACAATTGGAACACCATAAGAGGAATTTCTGTCTTCGCTGTTACCATTACACAAATCTTGTTGGGGCAAATAGGCGCTTTCCGGTTCATGTTTTTCCTTGCACCAGCAAACACCCATAATTTGTACACATCGAAGGTTTTTGCAGCATGTGCTTCTAGCTTCACCTGAATCCGTTTGACAACAATAACAAAAACAACAGTAACAGCATCAACAATAACAAAAAAACAAAATCAAGTACGAAAAAAGTTATGTTGGCGTAATAAGGGACATTAACATATTAGCAGTGCAATTATTGAAGGTCCAACTCACGTATCTTTCGATAATTTTGAAAATAGTCGTTTGTAGGTGCAGCATGGATCGTGCAATTATAGCACACACTACACGTAACTTTAGAATGACCGTTTTCAAAAGTAATCCTCAGATTTATACTTTGAAATAGAAATATGTTGAACACTTGTTATTAATTTGCTTATAACACTCCGTTGACGGTTTTGATGAATGTCAATATTATTATGATAGATTGATGTGACAGACTACAACTTTTTATTTCTTCTTTTTTAGGAAGTGTCACGTCATCTATAGAAATAGAAACATCTATAGAGTGTAGAGAATTATATGGAACTTCATTCCACTAGAGAAATCAATGGAATCAATTTAATGTATGTAATAAAAGGACGTATGAAACAGTTTTATCAATGTAATAATATGAATCTATGAATTTTATGCATCTATGGATGCATCTTCTTCAATCTTGTCTGCATCTTGTCCATCTTGCCATCTTGTATTAAATACGACGCTTCGTCTCCATTTTAAAATTTTGCAATTTTACTTTTCCGTGAGTATTTTTATTGTATTTAATGTTTTACTTGTTTAATAATGTAGTTTATTCGTTCTTTTTCTTTATTTTTACAGATTGACGATAAATAAGAGTGGAAGAGTCTTTAATTTGATGCTATTGAAAAAACAGGTTGTCTATTAACTTTTCATCTTGGAGGATCTTATAGTTAATTACGGTGAGAATACATAATATGTATGTATATTACAGCATTGTTGATATTTAATTTAACGTAAATAATATTGAATTGGTGTTTTGTTTCTCCATCTGTGCTCTATGGTACAGGTTTTCCTTCACAATTTTTTTGAATGTCTATCGTTGATGTAATTGTATGAATCTATGAATTTTATGCATCTATGATGCAACTTCTCCGGTCTTGCCAATTGAATCAAATTGAATCTTGTCTTTGCCATTTTGCAATAAATCCGACGCTTCGTCGCCATTTTGGACCTGAGAATGGGAAGCAACATGATATTAATTTGGAATCTAGAACAAGAAATTTCTTGACAATTGTCTGCATTGGGATCCCTCCTAGATTTGGTTTGCTCATCACACTTGTAGACTTTTGAACGCTATCGTCTGCAGTTAATTAAGGTGAGAANGACGCAAAACTGAAAATTTTGTTAAATCTGAAAATTTGTATTAGGAGAGCATAAGTCGCGAAAGGTCTTTTTCAGAGTTCCAAGTTTTAGCGCGGGATCAACTATATATAGCAGTTTTGTTTTTCGTTTTTCTACATCATTCGGCCTTGAAAAGTTTAATTCCACTAGTACTATCAAAATTAAAGTACATTTCCAGTATTATAACTATAGATTAAATTTCTCGAAAGATGTCTTAGTGTTATTTTTAATAAGTAAAATGCTGTTCATATCAAAATAAGGTTTATTTAGCAATTTTATTATATATTGTAATTCACATAAAATAAAATTTGTTCAATAATACATTTATTGTTGCAAATTTATATCATTTATACTAAACACAACGTATGAACATCAACAGATAGGTATTTCAAATAACAATACATGAATATAAACAAAATATCTAAGATATAATACATTCTAACGACTTATAAAAGTTCGAAATAAAATACCTGTAAGAGGATATCAATAAAATTTCAAAGAAAATACAATTATTATACATAAACTGTCATACCATTATTATTTAAATGCAAGATTAGGGAGAAAAAAGCCCATATATTTATTAATTACACTAATTACAACATATTTATCTCATGTAATAGTATAATACATAATATA